CTGGTTCTCAGCATTTCCTGACTTGTACAGGTTTTCTTAGCCATTGAGGTGGAAGTCCTCATGTAAGAAAGACACTGTCAAGGGTAGAACAATAGGTAAGACTGGCTCTCTGCTTCCTCCCTACTTTTTGGGGCTCAGAAGAAACAATAATGCATCAGGAACTCCATTAGAGAACACAGATTTTTCACTACAGAAAATAAAGCTCAACCCAACATTGCTGAGTTAATTCTTAATGAATTCATGCAAGCAATGTAAATGCTACAAATAAGACAATGTTGGCAGTTTCAAGAATTAACTGCATTCTTATTATAATCTCATCTGAGAGTATTTAATTTCTACCACTGATGTTCCAATGCTATTGCAAACTCTGAATATTTAAATGAGTAAACAACAAACAAAAGGTCTCGTCTTCAGTGCCCCAAGCTATCATCCAAAACTAGTTATAATTAAAGGTGTGAACAACAGAGTAACAAACCTGCAAAGTCAAGGTTCTGAGAAATTAATGGGCATCACACCACTGCACCAGTTCAAATTTATCACTCATTATCTCCCCGACTAGCACAGTGCTGTTTCACATATTAGTGCCTCCTTCTTTCCTCCAAGCCTTTCCTGCCTTTTCTAGATGGCTAATTTTATACAATTACTGCCTCTGACACATTGAGACCTTTTCTCCCCCCTTTCTTCTTCTTGCTGTAAAGCTAGTGACCTACAAAAGCCCCCCTGCACCTAAAATATTCCAGTATTTAAAAGTACAGACTGATCACTTGAGGGAAAAAGCAAGCAAGCAGTCTCAAAGTATCTGTTTCTCCAATATCTTCCCTTTACATTATCTCAAATGGTTAAAACCACCCAAAGGCTAAGGCAAGGTACAGGTATGCTTTAAACATGTTTTATTAGGATTAAATCTACAGTACTTGTTGAATTGCAACACTGCCCTCCTCTCCACAAAGTTCCTTAGAAAATTAAAAATGTGCCTTCTTTTAAAGTTGCTCTGAGACCTACAATGCTGGTAACTGGACGTTTACAGAAACGACTGGGGAGTGTTACATTACACAAAAGCCCTTTCCCTTCTCATCCAAATCCCAGCGTTTTCCTTAATGTCCATTAAAATGGAAAGGGAAGATACACATGCACAAGCACACACACAAATACATGCGTACCCATCTCTTTCTCCACCCTACACAGAAAGGAAAAGAGCAAGAGGAGAAGAGTACAAGGGGGAGGGGTGACTTTCCATCACAAATTAGCAAATTTCGCAAAATCTGGCCCATCCTTTACAGAGATACCATGCTTTTTAACATCACCTCACTTTCAAGAAAACTGTTTGTGCCCACTTCTCCCCCAAAACCCCAATGACATTGAAAAAATACTGCATTGCAGTATTTGCCAGTGCATCGGAGTGTATCCAGTTAGCTGTCCCACAGACAAACAAATGTACATTTTGATGTGTCCAGGCATTTAAATGAGGTGTCCAGAGGACACAGATTGCCAAAACAGACAAGTGGATTTGTCAAGTTATCTGCATCTCTTTCTCTCTCACCATAATATTCTCTGCCACTGTCCATTTCTTGCCTGGGCTGTTTGCTGAAATTATTTTCAAAGTCCAAGTTCCCAAAGAACACACCAAATTTCCCTGCCAGAATACAGGACACAATCATACCTTATTTCTTCTGAAAAACCTCTGGGTGTAGAGTAGCTCTAGGTTATGTACCAACAGTATGACAATTACTCACAGAAAATAACCTGCATTTAATTAGTACACTCCCAGCATACCAAGTAGGAAGGTTGAGGGAAAAAAAAAAATTCCCTGTAACTTAGAAGGTATTATTTTAAAAAAATTAATCTATTAAATATATGTAAGATTAATGCAACCAGATTTCTTTCAATAGAGTCACAATATTTAACAGGACCAAATAAAGATGATGAAGACTATTTCAAACCCATTCAAATGGGATTTTTAAGTATACCCCTTCCAGCTCATTGTAACCATCCTTTGTCACAACAGCTCAGGCTCACTTTGAGAGCTCAAAAAGGTAAAATTAATAAAGAAGGAGAAAGCAAAGGAGGCAAACCAAGCCAGTCACCAGTGGAGAGGCATCCCTGTATCTAACATGGGAACTTGATTAGCAGAGTACATGGGGACAGGATTTTAAACTGATGGCTGGTATTCACATTGCATCAATATCCAATTGTAAGATTGCCTCCTTTCTGACTAGTACACCAAGACAACAGTTTTTAAAAAAAGAAAAATGTCATGTCTAAGGACAACTACGTTATCTATATCTTTTTGTCTCAACAGAAAGAGGTTTTACATTTCCATCTTTTAGTACCACTAGCAATCTTAATTCTATTTCGCTAACTTAATAGCTATTTTTCTATAGGAAGATTTACAATGCAATCTTTTACATGCAGAAAGAAAATGTCACTATGTACATGCAGGCTGTATTCATTAATATAATCTTAAAACAAAGAAAAGAGGAAGACCAGGGCAGGAACACGTGCACCATAAAACAAGGATTACATTATTTTTAAATCTTTGTAAAAACACGAAATTGAACAGAAAATGAAAATGTAACTACTAGCTGATGACTCTTAAAACAAACAATGCATCCTTATTTATTGTCATGACTAAGTTAACAGATTTAGAACACAGTATCTCTGTTTTGAACAGAAGAAAAATTATTTTACTCTCACGTACAACTACAATGCATGTCAGAATGCATCTCTGCACATGCACAGGCTGTAAAATACGGAATTTTACACACGCACACACCCCCTCAAGATTTTTTTCTCCCCCTCTACATTGTAAAGCAGTGCAGTTTTCAGAGGGCCATTCAATCACTTTTTCACAGAAAGGACTGCAGCAGAAGCAATACTTAGAGCAAATTAAAAGAGCTATTTAATTTTTTTTAAATTCCTATTTCAACTAAGCACTGCCATTCCTGCTTGAATTCGCATTCAAAGTAACCCTGCACCAGAGGAAGGAATAAAGTAAAAATATCTGCAAATCCGAAGACAGAAAGAAAGGCGTGTTCTATATTCTTGCTTTGCTTCTTATGCCTCCTGATGTGTGATAGATGAACATTTTCTGGGCAACCACATTTTTATATCTTTTACGCTACCGTCTATCACTTACTAGTCTACTACGCTTTTTTAACACTTCTAGCACCACCAGCTATTTCCCATTATTGTTTGCCACTACAATTAAGAGACCATCACAATTAACAAAATATTCAGCCGTGGTTTAAAAAGTAGAGTTGCCACAAGGAGCCCGACACTGGAAGTGGATATTGCTCCAGCAGATACAGAATAGACTGTGGCTAAAGGTGGGGCCGGAGACGAAGAGAAGAACAATTTCAGTATTTTTGTTAATTCCGCTCAGTGCCTAAACCCTAAAATATGGTGAGCTCCCCTGAACTGATTATTCTGCCATATAACCATCTGATTTCGTAAAAATACCAATATCACTTAACACAAAATCACTGCTTAGGGTAAATTCATTCTACCTACTGTTCTCATAGGGACATTTGCTGGAAAATTCTAAGAAATGATTTGCAGAAGCTATCAGCTGTGGGAGTTCACTATTATACCTCTGTCAACTTCATTCAATATAATTTACATTTTTTTTTATACTGCCTCACAGGATTCCTTGCAATTTTTTGCACGTACAATTTCACAGCAGGGAGGGGGTAAGGAAAAAAAAAAAAAAAGATAACCCTCTTTTGCAAAGGAGAAAGAACAGATGCTTAAAACCAGATTTCTAGAAATCACTGTAAGCCTGAGCCAGAAATGTAATTAACACCTATTTATAAAGAATAATTAAAGTTGTGACTGCCACAAAGAAGAGCAGAGATAATCGAGGTAGCCCCTGCTTCTTTTTTTTTTTTTTAGATTTTTTTTTTTACACTGTTTGCAGTATTCCCACATGATTGCCACCTGCTCCCCCACTCAGCTTCCCCTATGCTCGTTTCCCCGGCAACCTTTCATTGGCTTTTCCTCCCAGCTATCGCTTTCAGTTCGGCTGCTCAGTCTAATCTTATTTGTTTTACACCCATCAAAACAAGCAGCTAGACAAAGACAATCCTGTAAGAATGGGAAAAGACCGTCGCTTTGTTTCCCCGGTTATAATAAATATCCGCGGCAAAAGTCTGCAAAACGTTAAATTAGGGGGAAGGGGGGGTCCCCGGCTCCCCCCATCCCGGGGCTGGCAGGAGGGCCGGGTATTGTGCGGGCGGCCCCAGCCCCCACCCGGGTCGCCCCGCTCGGCGCAGCCCCGGTGCCCGCAGTTGTGTGTCTGATCATGCCATTTTGCACAATCTGTAAGGAAAAGCACAAAAGAGGGGACGAGATGAGCACGTCCGGGGCTCCTCCGCCAGGAGAATACGGGCTAAAAATAGAAATACTATTTTTCACATAAATGGCTTTGACTTCTCCCGGCATTTAAAAAAGCACAAAACAACACGGCTCCCTCCCCCCCACCACCCCACCCCAGCCCCCACCCCGACACAAAAAAAACACACCCTTGCTTGCTTCCATCCATCCACCCATCCATCCATCCACCCATCCATCCTCGACAGCACCGGCTCCATGGGAAACGCGATACCTGGATTTTTTAGAGGCGATTATTAGGTTTGTATTTAAGGCTGGTGTAATAGGAAGGGAGATTAAAAGGCATCATCGGCCGGCCGCTCCGCCAGGCACACGCGGTACCATGACACCGTGACTGTCAGCAGAGACCATCCGCGCTCAACTGAAACGCAACGTTCAAAGGAAACGCTGTGGAGTGCCATCGCAGCTACAGACGGTAAATGGATGTACAGATACATATGCACACACACAGGCAGACATAACCCACCGAAGGAAAAAAAAAAAATAAAAATAAACAAGGCTCTCTAATTTTATTTTATGACTCACGATCCGCCGCCCTGAACAAAAGAAATTCGCGAGGCACACGAGAAACGAGACAAAACCCCACGAGCAGGCTCTCCCCGTTCACTTACCATTTTCAAGCCATTCCACTCCATCTGTGATCACAAAGATGGACCCTTACAGCCCCTCACAGAGTCAAAAGCAAAAAGAGCGTTATGTAAAAGCTGACATTCCTTCTTACAGCGCTGCTGCCCAACGATGCAACAAAATCGACATATACTAGGCACTGCAACACATACAAGCCTCCTCCTCTTTTTATGAGGTCACGACAGGAAACTCTTTGAAATACAATATGCAGCATTTACTGAAGCTCATATAAATCACCCTCTTTTAAAATTACCATACCTATTGCGCAGTCCACCAAAAAGAAAATTACCAATCTCGAGGCTTTTTTTTTTTTAAACAACCCCCCCCAAGGATTTTGCTCTGCATTTGTATCCCCAAAATGTCAATGTGGAAATTAACTCTCCCCCACCCTTAAAAAAAAAAAGCCTCTTCTTCCTTTTGCATTTCAGTTAGCCACATACCAGCCTCGCATTAGAAATGAGCTTTTCTCTTTATTCTGAGAGAAATCGCAATTACCTTAAAATGACAAAGTACATCCTTTATTAAAGGATACGCAGACATTAAATATGAAAGAGAGAGAGCGAAAGAGAGGGGGAAAGAGAAAGGGAGGGGGGAAAGGGAGAGATCATGTACAAACAGATCAGTAGCAGAAAACTAAATTCATGGGAAAACACAGACTGAGAATGATGCAGATTCGGGGAAAATCTGTATGTTAGCTTCTATATCTACCTCTATATAAACCCGCTACGATCAGATTTTAAATCTACTAATACCTACCATAACCATTCTTAATGGCAAATATTGGGTGTCTTGAAAGGCTTCAACTCTTCTAACGGTTTTGCTAAGGTTTCAGGGAATTATTTTATTATTATTATTTTTTCTCTCTCTCTTTTTTTTTTTTTTTT